CAGCCTCCCAAGTAGCTGGGACTACAGGCATGTACCACAGTGCCTGGCTAATTTTTCTATTTTTAGTAGAGATGAAGTCTCACTCTTGTTCAGGCTGATCTCAAACTCCTGAGCTCAGGCGATCCTCTCGCCTCCGCCTCCCAGAGTGCTAGGATTAATAGGTGTGCCATGCCCATCCTAAAATTATCCTTAATAATGGAAGGGTTTTAAAGCTGGATATGAAAAGTTAATGTAATATTGTACTTTTGTTTCCTGTTTTCCATGATAAAAATGTGGAAATTTTGATAAGTTTCTAAAGAAGAAAATTTAGAAATTCAGGAAAATACAGGGAAAAATACAAAAATTATCTAATTTCTCCTGGTTTTATATATGTGTAGAAAGAAGTAGTCTTTAAGCCCCATGTATTTTGCTGCTCTAAAATTATAAATAAAATGCTCTTGTTAACATATCAGTGTTCACCAGTACTACTTGACTCAAGATATATATGTTTATGTACTTTTTTAAAGACCAGTGCTAAGACAAGCCAAACAAAAATTTCTGCTTCTGTTGCCTGGTTTGGAAACTGTTGAAATGATGGAAGAATCCAGTGGACCGTATTCAGATGCAGTAAGTGTTTGTTTTCCTGTTTTTTTTTTTTTAAACTTTTAAATGATATTTGAGTAGTTTGTTTATTATAAGTGATAAACAAGTAGAACCTAAACAGAAAAGAGTTCTATAACATAGGTAGGATTTTTCCATATTGTCAATTGTCTTGCCTAAAATAGCTTATGAATTACAGGCAAAAATTTTCACTAGTGATTCTCATGTAAATAATCTCTAATTCTTGTTCACTAATGATCTTTTTTGAGCTCAGATACCTTGTATGTACTATTTTAGAAAGTTCGTAATTGTTAAAATAAATGTAGTTAAGTGTTGCTTTGGAAAAAACTAGAAATAACTGTTACTAGTCTATGTCTAAGCAAGAGCTACTCTCACTTTTTCCTATCAATTCTCCCATTTCTTCTGTCAGAAAAACACATCCTTGCTATCACATCATACCTTAGGACCAAGGTTCTTCAATTCTGCCTGAAGATATAGGCAGATAAAGACATGGGCACTATATTCCCCTGAGGTGGAATATCCCTAAAAAATTTTTCCTACTCGAGCAAATGATGTATGGCAGTTTTTTGTTTAGAATCTGTAAGAGGAAAAAAATACAGTCAACTAAGTACTCTATTTTGTTTTGTTTTTGGTTTTGGCTAAAATAAAAAATTTTTCACCAGGTAACCATCTAAACTTGTTAAGACTTATTCAGTGGCATTTCACCTATAAAAGCCATGTATTCTGTTGAAGGAAAATGTGCTTGGTGCAGTAATATTCTGTATTACATATGCTTTATTAACCCTCTTTGTTGTTTAATGTGTAAAGTTACGGCTTTGAATTTTCTTTTAGAATAGTGCCAGTAATAGGTGGAGTATTTGAGTCTAGTAATTTGATTCACATTGTAGTAATTATGTGGTATTTCTT